AGAGTTATGCAGATAAAAATAATGAATTTTAATAGTTGCGTACATATAAGCGCTTTTAAACTAAAATAAACCAAATCAAGCCCGAATGAGAATATCTAGAGAGACACAAAGGCGTATTTGTGGCTGGACCCTGTGAAATAAGTCCTTGTCCGTTCACAAGGAAGAGCAGGCTGAGCCATCTGCAGGAAAGGCTCTTTGCTCTCATCCTTCAGGGGAAGGTTAACACCAACGGGGGGGAAAAAAAGCCGCTCCCTTCTTTGACTTGAAGGCGAACTCCGGTACGTGCTAAGGTGCTCAGGCAGAAAGCCCAACGCGCTGTAACCTTGCCGGGGCTGGGAGCAAGGCAGCCCCAGCCTGCGAGCCCACGGAAGGGCTACCCACACGTTAATCACGGCCACGGGAGCGGGGAGAGGCTGGGGGGGAGTGGGCACACGGGGCGAGACCTTACCTGTTCCAGGTAGCGTTGGAGCAGGCCCGTCGCTGCTGGGTCCCCCGCTCATCCAAGGCTGCCTGCTCTCTCTTGCCCAGATCACTGAGGCTGGGCGAACTCATGAACTTCAACCTGCGAAGAGTCCTCATGGTCAAATGTGTGTTTGCGCGTGGCAGCTACAGATACACCATCCTGTTTACACACACACACACGCAGCTGGAGCAGCGGCAGCGGCAGCAGCAGCAATGCGAGCGGTTCCCTCCGTTTGCTGTTCAAAAAAGAAACTTAAAAAAAAAAGAAGAGAGAACCAGTCTCTACGGAGCACACCTCTGCCAGCAAGAAAACAAACCTTTAATCAGATCAACTCTGACGTCATCAACTGTGGTTAATAATTTCTCCAGTCCTTTCAAAAAATAAAAAAGTCAAACTTCTGGCTGCTGCCGCAGCATTTTGAAGGGGCCCCTTCCAACAACCGCAGCCGCCCCGGGAGCGAGGGCTTCCCCTCCCCCTGTCCCCGGGCACCCCCCGACCTGGGGAATCTGGCCCCGGGCGGCGGAGGCGTGTGCTCCACCTGTCGTGGGAACGGCTGGGCTCCTCCAGCGGCTTTGGGAAGAGGAAGGGGGGGTGTTTCTGCCAGCACTTCTCAACCTGCCCCTCTCTGGCTCGCTCTCTGCACTCATAAATGGAAATGAAACCGGAGGGCCACGGACAGAAAAAAAACAACAACAAAAAAAAACAGAAACCAAAAAAAAACCACCAACCCACCCCAAACCCAAGCAACCAATACTGACGTACTGAGACTTTATTGGAAAGTTTCGTAACTGCCTGTGCCCTGGCCACGTTACGACACCGCACACACAGGCTCTGGCTCCCTCGCTCATACATACACATAGGCACACTCCCCCGTGCACTCCCGTCTCTCCCGTACGCACGCAGCGCAGCCCCACGGCTGCTCCACCTCAGGGGAGCCTGCTTGGGCTGCCAGTGTCACACCAGCCACGGGAAGATGGGAAGTGACATTCACAAGCGACACAACTGCAGGACGAAAAGCGCTGGCTTGGGTTTTAGCATTTGGAGGAAGTTCTGGTGGCGCAGAGAAGAGCCAGTTGCTTTGTCTTTCTCTTTTTGTTTTGTTTAGTGTTTTTTTTAATCGAGATAACAGCTGCACAACTCGGGGCACACTTAAGTTTCTACAAAAGCCCCAGGTGTCTTATCTTCAAAGGAAAAATCTTCTCTCTCTCTCTCTGACTGCAGCACTGGAGCTGAAGGATATGCTGCTACAAGACTCCAGCCCATGCTTAGCTCCCTGTCACTCACTCGCGGTTCTGTTTTAAATTCAGGAGTGCCTGGCTCATCTGCTGGGAAGTAATGTAACAAAAGGGCCATTAGTTTTCTCAGAAAATAAATTGTTCGAAATAGACCGAGCCAGAGTGTAATAACTGCTCTTCTGTGGCTACAGCATTGGTCTGCAAACAGTCTGGTAAAAGCCACAAGGGCTCCTTGCAGAGTAACCTCCCACTCACTGGAAGGGGGCTGCACTACACACCAACTTACCCTTTCTTTTTTTCCCCACTTTCTACTTGCTCTTTTCATCTGTGATAACCTACTGTCTAAACCTAGACTATAATTGCATTTGTTGGTGTCCAAATAATATTGCAAAGCTTACATTACAGCAGAACTGAATTTCTCACAGTGAGACATGCCCTATGTGCATCAATTATTGACATATTTTAGTAAAAACTGATTGCTCTTGCTACTCACCCAACCTCAGCTAAGCTTACTGCATATAAATATTTACTTCCAAAATTTATATTTGGTATTACCTCCGTGGGAAGCAATTGCAGAGCTACCTAGGGAAATAAATCCATTTTTACCTTGTAGTAGTTTTAGCAGCCATAGTTTTATCCAGCTGCTTGGATTAGCATTATATTGATGGTCCTTCACACATCAAAACCCTCAAGTATACACATGAGGATCACAGTAGACGGCATATAACATTTCACTTTGGAAGGGACCTGCAGCTCCCCATCTAACCTATGTACAAAGACATTGCTATCCCCGGCATCCTCCAGATGTTTAAATCCTTCAAACAAACAAACAAACAACAATCCACTATGTACACAGCAGGAAAAGGAAAACAAACACCACAATATAGGGCTGTATTCTAAGGAATGAGATGGCTCCTACAGCATACAAATCAGTGCCAAAAATAGATACAGCAGAACACTGCTTTGTTCAAATCGGATGAAGGGCACTCCATTTCTGTGGCTAATACAGCCCGGGAGAGCAGGGGAGCACAACTCGGTCTGAGCTTCTGCTGAGGGCTCAGATAAACGTGCGTCTGCCCTGTGAAGTGAAACAACTAGTTAGATAAACCTGTGGCAGTATAATTCCATCTAATTTCATTTTCCACCTAGCTCAGACCCTTTTCTGCTTCTCACTTGCTGTGAATTTGATAGGCCTTGCAAAATGTTATTATACTGGATTAAACCTTTGGAATTTTTAACTCTTTGATCACTGCGCAGCACTAGAGACTTTATAAACTGCACCCTGATGATGCCAGTATGTCAGCAGCTACATAATATTATTTCATCTGCTTTTTTCCTTAACATCCACAACTTGCTAAATTAACTGGAGCTGCTGCGTCAACCTTGGATACGTCAGACAACACTGCAAAAAGCAGTACTTGGCTTCCTCATAAAAAACTGAATCCCAAGAGAAGGGGGGGAAAAAAAAAAAAGACCTCTTTCTCTCTGTACGTTGAAATATACCACCTATAGAAGTCAGACTATTTTTATGCCACCCCATCAATCTCAGTAACCAGTACTAGATTCAGAGTCGACGCATGCACAAAGCACATGGGAGAAGCAGAATTTCAGTCTGATGAAGAATTTCAGATTGAGGTAACAGAGGGCAGGCTTTCCCTACACTTCTTCCTACAATTCCACATGATCAAATGTTGATTTATGATAAAATGAATCCTTTTCAACAAGGGTTACCTCCACCCGTAATTACCAAGCAATACTTCACATTTACATTGCGCTGTGCATCCACAGACATCCTTGACTTCACGGCATTCGTTAATTCAGCCCTGAGCAGCTCTCAGGTATGAAGGCAAAAGATACGATCCGCACTTCAGCACAAACAGTGAAGAAGAAAAAGGTGACGTGACTCGCCCAGGACACCCCGTGAGCAGGTGGCAGAGATTTCAAGAGACCCCCAGGACCTCTACCTCCCGTTCCAGCAGGCTACCGAGGGGATGCTGCAGGGACTGGGTAGCCGGGGACTCCTCGGGCCTGGGCGGCTGGAGGGCGATGCAGAAGACAGAGCTCCTCGCCAGGGCTTGCGGTGCGGCTGTTCCTCTGTAGCCACTTGTGAAGAGAGTTGTCGCAATACAGCACTGCTTCAAGATCGAGAGGCTAAGCAGCAGAGATTGCTCGCTATTGGTCATGGAGAGGGATAAGAGCACTGACCGGACTAATTGGGAGGGAGGGGAGAAGAGGGGATTGGTGGGGGGGCCTCCCGTAGGCTCAATAACGAGCACTACAAGCTTCTTAAATAGAACAACCGCGCTCAGCACATTTACACAGCCAAGGCTGTAAAGTACTGTTACGCTAATTCATTTAATCCCAGCGTGCCGTACACGGCGCTAACACCACTATTTCACTCGCAAGAAACCTGCAGCTCAAAGGTTAAGTGATTTAATCAAAGCCACACACCCACCTCAGCGTGGAAGGCACATCCAGCCCTAGCTCCTGTTCCCTCCCTTCCCTTCCAACGTCTCTCCTCATAAAAACAGGCCTGTCTCTACTAGAAACCGTTCTTTCATCTGTGGGGCCCACATCCTGCGTGGCAAGTCCCGGAACTGCCATGGTGTTGGGAGACGGAGGGGAATTCTGCTCACCTGGACTTGCTCGCTATCTTGAGGCCTAAAACCAACGGACAGGTACGTAAATACAGGCTGACAGCTCAAGAGGTTTTATGCTGTTATCACAAGACAACGTTAGCATACAGATCCAGGGCCTCGTAGCAACATGGCTTTTAAAATAATCACCAAGGGTAACTCTGTAGTTTCCTCCTGGTATGCCTGTAACGCCTGCGACGTTCCTTCTGGGAGCTGGGGTTTAAAGACCGCATTGCTGCCCCTAGCAAGCCTTAAAAAAAATTCCAGGTAGACCTACCCAAGTCTACATTTGGTTTCAAATGAATGAGATTTGCTAAAAAAAAAAAACCACCATAAACTTCCTTTGCGTAATGCCATGTTAATTTTTACAATCATATTGTCTTCTTACAAGTTTCTTTTTGACTGTTATGAGAGTGGAAAGGAAGCAAGAAGTAACACTGATGAATGGGAACATTAGAAAGATCACAATATATGAAATTCATAATAAAGCTGCCAATGCTGTGACTGCTACAGGTCAACATGTCTTCGGCTACACCGTTCTGCTAATGCAGTGACAGGTTAACACTGCAGCAATATTGGTGTCAGTGGAAGGATATGATCAGCAAGAGAATTTGCTATGTCAGCTTCATTCACCAGAGCTTTGACATGTAAAAAACAACTCAACAAGGTGACTGCGTGGCAAGTCCCGGAACTGCCATGGTGTTGGGAGACGGAGGGGAATTCTGCTCACCTGGACTTGCTCGCTATCTTGAGGCCTAAAACCAACGGACAGGTACGTAAATACAGGCTGACAGCTCAAGAGGTTTTATGCTGTTATCACAAGACAACGTTAGCATACGGATCCAGGACCTCGTAGCAACATGGCTTTTAAAATAATCACCAAGGGTAACTCTGTAGTTTCCTCCTGGTATGCCTGTAACGCCTGCGACGTTCCTTCTGGGAGCTGGGGTTTAAAGACCGCATTGCTGCCCCTAGCAAGCCTTAAAAAAAATTCCAGGTAGACCTACCCAAGTCTACATTTGGTTTCAAATGAATGAGATTTGCTAAAAAAAAAAAACCACCATAAACTTCCTTTGCGTAATGCCATGTTAATTTTTACAATCATATTGTCTTCTTACAAGTTTCTTTTTGACTGTTATGAGAGTGGAAAGGAAGCAAGAAGTAACACTGATGAATGGGAACATTAGAAAGATCACAATATATGAAATTCATAATAAAGCTGCCAATGCTGTGACTGCTACAGGTCAACATGTCTTCGGCTACACCGTTCTGCTAATGCAGTGACAGGTTAACACTGCAGCAATATTGGTGTCAGTGGAAGGATATGATCAGCAAGAGAATTTGCTATGTCAGCTTCATTCACCAGAGCTTTGACATGTAAAAAACAACTCAACAAATAGAAATTTTAATTGAAAAATATATATATATCCCTTTATCTCCCCTCCTCTTTCGGAGAGGAGAGCAGAAATCCCCATGGAAATGCTGAATGCTGTATGCTCCGCAAGCGAAGAACAAAGAGGCAGAGTGTATCTATGGCAGAAAGGAGTTAAAACGCTCCTTAGACCAATGCACTTAGTTTTTCATACACCACACCACAAAACTTAGGGCATGCCTCAACACATGCCAAAGCTCAGGAATTAGTCTTCTGAAAAACCACACTTCTTAAAGGCACAGCACGTCCTGCTGCGCCAGCAGAGGAGGGGCGAGGCAGGAGGGGAGAAGGAGATGCGAGTCAGGAAAAAATTAAAAGGAGAGGAGGGGGAAATGAAGTTGCAAACCTTATGACTCATCAATTCCTTTGCTGCTCTATCCACATAAAGTTCCTTTATCATCAGAAAACAAAGAATAAAGACAATAAAGAAAGTACGAAACCAAACAGGCATTATTTACACCCTTCCCCCTCCATTCCACTGACTTTTTGCAACCTCTGGAGATAAAGGCACTCTCAAGGACAGTTCCTGCCTGTCCTTTTATTGAGGCTGGTCACAGGACCGCCTTCGCTTTGCTAGTCCTTTGCTTTATTTCTGCTCTCAAACCACAGCCAAGCTCTGATTTATGTAAGGGCATATGGGCTTACTGGGTCATCTCCCCATCATCTGAAACACCTTCTGAGCACTCCTGCTCTTCTGCATCCTGGGACTGTAAGTGCCCACATGACCACAGTTGCCTCTCTTTAGACAGAGCTGGGTTTTCTGCCCCTTCAACTGCATGTAGGTCTCACACATGGGGTTTCTTTTCTTTTACACTGTGAAAAAGAATAAATGCTCAAGACACTACCTCCTTCCTAAGCAAGCAGAAGGTGACCCCTAAGAAGAGTCCTTTGACTACTGTTGGAAAGGGATGCTCTGCCCCCCTTGCCATTTCTGCAGTAACATCTGCAAGCACAGCCCGTCCTACAAAGCTTCAAACCCAACCCACAGGCAGCCATGGCTGCTGCAGCTCCACTGCCTCCCCTGGAGATACAATACTGGCTTGCACCAAACAAGGACACTCGTAATCACCGCAACCTGTGGAGGATCAGGGCCAGTTTCCTGGACCTGTTCTGCTCGGTGTAAGGCAGAGCAGAGTGAATGTGCCTAGGAGACTTTTGTCAGCAGAGAGACCTGCATCTGAGCAAAGGGCCACCTGGACAGCAGCAACCACCCATGTCTAGTTTCTTTCCACAGTTTTCTGCCGGATGACATTTTTTATCTGTTCGCTGACTGTTTGACTCCCCACCTTGCTCCCCTTCTGCTTCTCCATCACTCTTTGCTCTTATACTTCCTCTTCCTTTTTTGTCATTCACGGTCAGGTAATTATTCCTCAGGAAAACTTTTTAAATATAAAGGAAAGGAAAAAGAAAAAGGAGACCAAAATGCTGGTACTCACACTGTGTTTGCAAACCACTCTTGCCTGGCTGTAAAGCCTGGTTGGACTGTGAGTTGTTCTTTACCCTTTTCACTTGGTGTCTGTACCCTAGCTAGCAAAACAGAGCCCTGAGCTCAGGATAAGTCCCCAGCCACCAGCCTAATCTAACAGAGGTCATGAATCTAGCAATACCTGTAAGGAAACCTATGCTCAAAGCATGCATTAAACCCCATCCCCGTTGCCGGCAGCAATTTTGGGTTTACAGAGCATAAGAATATAAGCACTTCTTAAAATACGCTAGATAGCTAAATCTGTTATCCTTGTCCTTCAGGACATGGGATTTAGGAGAGAATTAGGATAGGAATAGGCCTGTTACACCCCCATCCAAAATATCAAGCTTTCCATCAAATGGCAATTCCCCAAGCTTGCAGTATCATTCCTCATTATCTCTTTATAGGTTTCTGGGAATTAAAGATAGTGCAGTGACCTGAAGCATGATGGTTATGTTGGAGGAGGCAAAATCAATGCGCTGCATCACAGGCCCTATGGCATTACCACCCTTTCTATTCATATCACCTGCAGGGAAGGTGGTGGGTTTCCGAGCGTCAGACGTGTCAGTTCTGGGTTTCACTGTTGCCCATGCACCTAATTCACTGCCCCTGCAACCAGCATGTCCTCCAAGGCAAGCCCACAACTTCGCTGTTAAATGAAGTCAAACCTGTAACTGTGATTTAGAAAGTAAGGTCTCAAGAGGTCTGATCAATAAGCAAACCAAACGTTTAAAATACTTTGTGCTCTTATTACAAGATCGTGAGATAGCGGAAAATTAATCTTACAAGGTAACTGAGCTCATAACGCTCGTGACTTTTTTTCTTTCCTGAGCTCTATGTGAATTCTTTCCTAAATTGCCTGTCTTGCATAATTTTAATTGGATCCCAGAACACCATGACCTTGATGCAGCAGCTACAGTATCTCAGTGCTGTCTTCTACAGTTATATATGGTACAGCGCCTTCCAAATCTGTGAACCCAGGGAGATCAGAACTGTGTGCTGCGCAGTGCTATTTTTCTTATATCCAAACATTTCTGATTCAAGGTCTTCCAAGAAGGCTCTGATTGCCTTGGAAGGTCACCAAGATAAAGAACCCACTTCGGTAACTAACTGAGTTTCTAATAAACTTCACTGGTGGCCAGCTGTTAGTTATGAGTGATATCCCTCAAAGCCAGGGTATCACTTGTGTGATACTCTCTGTCCATGAGAATGTCAGCATGGCTGGAAACATGAACCATGCCTTGAGATTACTGCCACCTCCTGTGCCTAAGTCAGGGAGGTCACTTCAGTACTGAGCAATGCAAGAGACAGCACTGCAAATTTGGGGGATCTTTGACTCTGAGGGTACTCCACAGCTGTTACTCAAACAGGACCATAGCTCTTTGGAAGAAATTTTGTAGTCCTGTAAAAGTCACAAAAGCCTGGCCTTCGACACAGATGGATTCTTTCAGAAAATTTATCCTTCTCCCTTGGCATCACAAGAATATTTTTCTGAATGGAAAAATCACCAGGAAGTTTTAAAGATAATCCAAAATTGCAACCTTTAGCTGTGTAGTCAGACTCTGTAGCATTCAGTATGGTGGAGCTTTGATTAGGAACTTAAAAATGGGGACCTTTTGCCATCTTTTCGTATACGCATGCTGAGACAATCCCTGCATACTGCGATACCAGGCAGTGGAAACAGCAAGGGTAAAAAAGACCTTCATCACACAAATTATTTTACACTTGTACCTTTAAATCTTCATTTCACTAGGTCACCAAGTCCAGCACTATAACCTCCCAGTAGGTATCACATCAGTGTTTTCTCAGGATGCTCTGGGAAATAACTTATCTCACAGGGCAGAGTGCTGGAATTTTTTAGACACCACAAGAAGGTTTGGAAAAACTCCTTTCACTCTCACTCCAGCTCATTAGCCAGTCTCAGTCTCCAGTCAGACATCAACATGACATCACTGTTTGAGTTACCACCCAGAAGGAATGCCTCATGGAGGAGGTAAGGCAAATTCCATTACACTTCCTTCCAGAAAACATTTTTCCCCTCCACAAGGTAGCAAAGTCAAAGTACTCCTCCCTCCCTAAAGTCAGCATAAAAATCAGCCTCCTCAAGCTACTGAGGCATGCAGCTGAAGAACACAGGTGTCATTCAGAAGTTTGTGCATCTTCCACAGCTTTGTAGTATCTTCCCTGTCATTCTTACTTTATGAGCCCTATTGCTCCAGCTTTCTTGTTCACCAGGCTTCCTTTAGTCATCTAGTAATCTCTTCTCCAAACTCAGGCTGTGTTAACTTTTCATTGTAAAACAGTTCAAGTTCTCTAAATGTATGGAAAACTAAAATTCCTTTAAAACCGTTTTTTTTTTCTCTTTTCTTCCCCTCAGAAAACTGCTGGGATGACAAATCTTTTAGGCTTCACCTGGAACCATGAGCCATCCAGGGTCTTTCAGGCTCACTGCTCTAGGGCCAGCAGTTGGAAAGCCCTCACAGACTGAGCTCCCCCACTCTGAAGCAGGAAAGTTGAAGGACTTCTCTCAAGCAAAGCTCCCAGATGCTCTCCTGGACCGCTGCAATCTCGGTACTGAAAGCCCTGGGTGATGTTTCTAGGATGCACAGTGCCTTCATACGGAAAGCCATAGACCATGTAGTCCCAGGTCAACAGACAGCACTTGGTTGAACCGCTTCTTGCAGAGCATATTGATTTTGGGAACATCATTGGAAAAAATAACTTGGAAAACCTCTCATGAGCAGGAAAGCCTGGACTGTGGTCAGTTCCTTGCTCAAATCTCCGTCTCCAGTCCTTTAAGATAATTTGGTGTTTATAAATACGTTGGTGCCAAACCTCACCAAGTCGACATTCTCACAGTGAGACAAGGTGATCGCTGAGGGGAGGATCACAGGAGGATGGAACAAAGTCCATCCTCACAGAGGAACTGCAGCCTTTGCTCACTCAGACTCTTAAAAACCGAGTAACCCATCTGTGTCAGCCTCCACCTTTGTGGCTTTTTTTTCAATTTCAAGACCATCTGAGCTACATGCCAGGTTTCACCCTGCTGAGACCTGAAGGGACAAAGACCTGATGCAACGAGGACACCAGGGAGGGCGGCCAGACCTGTGTGCCCCCTCAGTCACGCAGATGCTGCTGCTGAGTGCCCTCGCCCACCGGGCATAAGGGGAGGGAGCCCTGATAACAGCCATATAAAACAGAAAAAAAACCCCAAACAATAAAAATAGCAGCATAACATCTGTGAAGGTGTGCTCCCAAGCACGTTGCTTTTAGCCGGATTTTAAACCTTTTGACAGAGCCCTTCACGACTCGTTGCGGCCTCCTTCGGGTGGGACGCCCCCTCACCACCGACTGACCTGAGGAGACGCTGCCAAGGAATTGGCTTTGCTACTGCTCGCCAGAGGCGACCGATGGCCCCGGCAGGCCCTGCCCCGGCCCGACCTTTGCCCCGACACCGGCGGCCGGGGAGTGTCGGCCGCCGCCGCGCACCCTACCGGGCCTGGCCCCGGGGGAGGCCGGACAATATGGCAGCCAGGACGGCCTGCTGGGCCCCGGCCACTGAAACAGCTTAACCCCCGCAAACATTCATGAATTGGCTGCTGTTCTGTCACATTTGGGCTTTTTATTTTTTTTTTTGGAATGTAAAGAAGTCGGTCTTTTGGTTTTCCAGATGACATGAAAGGGGTAGCAGGGCAAAGACGGCAGGCAGGGCCTGGTCCCCAGCTCCCTCAGGCAGCCCCCAGGAGCTGTGGCATGTCACCCCATTTATAGGAGGACAACAAGCCCAAGCCAGGTCCTCAGGAGTCTCCTTGGTTGGAGATGCTTCCCATGGGACACTTTGGTGTCCCAGGCAAGCAAATTAACCCTCCTTGCCTCGCACTTTTGCTCTGATCTCCACAGCCTGGCATCGAAGGAGGGGCAAAACTGCGTTATGTTTTTACATGCCATTTTTCTCTTTCCTGCTCTTTTGAGCCACAGCCACCACGAGCCTTGGCGGTAGGGTGGGTCGGAGCAGCAAGGTGGCTTCAAACCAGCTTCAAATGATGCCTAAAGAACAAAGTCAAAAGTTTATCGAGAAGTTTCAGCTGGGACACAGTTGAGACATCACAGAAGGTGCCTAACCTTGAATAGGATGTGAAATGAAATAATTTGCCTTAAGTGTTCTTTTGCAGTTGCTGACTTAGACATAAGACAGCAAAAAATGTAACTTCTGGACCACAGTCAAGCCCAGAGTGTATCCTGAACTAACCTTAAGCAATTGTAATGCTAAAACACACCCCCCTTTCAGAATTATGAGCACGCTAATCAGGTAACCTCCCTCAATGTTTTAAACATGAGTATAGATGCATATGTATAGTTAGGAGAGGAAAATGAATCATTATTAACCAATCAGCTATATTTTATCATAATAAATATTGGGTGGTTTGAAACGTGAGGTGTACTGGCTGTTGTTTAATGCCCGGCATCCAATCCTGCAAAATTGAAATAAAAACAAATACCCTGACTCAGTGTGTAGATTGGCTCTCACACATCAGGGGAAGAACCCCCATGGAGGGACAACAAGGGCAGGTCCAGGTGGCCACAGGGGCCCCTATTCCCACTCCAAGCACAGACCCGGGAAGCAGCTGTAGCAACTGTGAGTTTTGCCATTCACCTGCTTTTCACCAGGACAGATATCGATAAAGCCTTACTCTCTGCCGTGACATTTTGGTGCTTGCAAATTGTAGGGCACCGGTCAAAAGATAGAGGGAAATAGCCTTGTTTTTTTTTTTTTTTTCCTTTCCCTTCCTGTAAGACTCAGAAAGGTCAGATTCGGAATTAATTTTGTCCTGTGTAATGTTTTGGCTTGGTTCGTATTTATTCCAAGTGAGTTCACCCATTTCTGTTGCAGAAATTAAAGGTCATGAAACCAGTGAATTCTCTCTCTCCTAAAAGGGGTAAAATCCCTTCTAGGGAGTGAATCACCAGTGAAGTGTACCGCAAGAAAAGAAAATGTAAAAATATATTCTGTGGGATTGTAATCACAGCTGGGTGCAATTACAAAATGCGCAAGGGCACTTTGGATGCCATTTGCTTGCATCAATTTTTAAGCTGTCTGTTTAATTTGACTAATGAACACAGGGAAAAGAGTAAAACAAAATTTTTACTTTTTGCCAAAAAAAAAAAAAAAAAAAAGAGTGCACCATCTCCCTCCTGCAATATTTGGCTATGCAGCAGTAGGAGCCGGCACAAAGATTTGGCAAGACTGGGAAAAGGAAGGAGGACAGGGAAAGGAGCAACTGAATCACATTATACACAGAACTAAAACAACCCTTGCCCTCAGCTAATATGTTGCATGTTAAAAAGAAAATATGTGCAGGTATATTTATGCGTGTCATTATGTTAGTTTTATTAGTCATCTGTTTTGGAGATTAGCTCTAACACAAAGTTTTGGATCCAGATTTGAACACTCCTTAGAAGGAAGGAGAGTACCCAGAATTGAACTTTTGACTCAGACTGGCATAAAGATTAATGGCTTTTTGAATCCAGGTTTTTGGTTCATTGACTCCATTTGGGTTTCCTTGGTTTGTTTAGTACAAGAATTTAGCGTATCAGATGAAACATAAACACATCTAAACTTACTCTGCTGGAATGAAATAGAAATTTTCACTGTTCATTTACTGTAGTGCATTGCTTCCTACCCATGTTTTCAAAAGAAAATCTTTTTGGTTCAAATGTTTTGAAGCATTTTTTTTTAAAGGCAAAAGGGTTTTCAACTCTATTATTGGTACCTAGTAGTGTTAAAAAAAAAAAAAAGCATAGGAGTCTTAATTTTTAAAGACTGAATCCTTAATATTGTGTAACAATTTTCCCTATAAGAGGGCCAAAACCAAAGGCATCCAAAATTATTAGATACTTTGTTAAGTTCTAATTAAGAGGTTTAATGAAAATGCTATCGGGACCCACTTGCATTTATCTACGTACTTTTCTTACTACTTTATCAAGAAATGCTATCTAGTCTTCAACATCAGGTGCTGAAACATTCCCATTTCAGTTCTTAAGTAGACCACAAGTTCTAAATAAATAAAAAATAATAATTTCTCAAGCCCGCATTATGATTTTTTTTGTGCCAGGTATAGGCTTTTTAAGACCTTATTTTGGTAATTCTCATTATTTAACTTTTGGAAGATTATTCAAACCTCAGTGAGGTGACCTGTCCTCCTTTGCTCAGCTCTGTGAAAGTTGTTTGGGTTGCGTTTGTGTGGAGTTGGGGAAAAAAAGAGGAATGAAAAATACTATTTTCACTTTCCTTTACTTACAGGAAAATTAAATGTAATAAATCTAAGACTTTAGCTGTTATACAGTTGATAGTTATTTCACATAAAGTTCGATAGGCAGATCAATAGATAAGAATATTTGTGCTTTCATCTACACTTTGCTACTGTCTGTATTTTACTAAGATGGTAAATAAATAACAGGAAGAAAACTTGGAATAACATTTGAAGTAATTCCTTCCTTTTGATTAAATTCTCTGTAATTGCTGTGAAGAGAGCAGAGACGCTCGTGACTGCAGTGACAGCAGTGTAGTGACCTGGGAGGTCAGAACTGGAAGGTGCATAAAGTTCAGTCACTTTAGCTTGGACTTTCCATTTTTTAAGCTCATCCAGCACTAGCTACTAGGAAATGAGGTAACGGACACGGGGAGTGGGATGAGAGTTGTAAGGAGTAGAGTTATAAGTAAATTATAAATATAAGTAATAAGAGTTATACAGGAAAGTCCAGACCACATTCCGTGGTTGCTGGAGAAAACTGGGCACATCCAGGGTGCACTTCACCGCATCCTGTAAAGGGTATTTAAATCTGGTCAGGAAAGTCATGCTGGGGATGTGCCTGTTCTCTCCACCAACTATAAAGAGAACATAATGTGAGTAGTTCAGATATGGTATTCCAAGATGTAAATACCTAAAATTAGATGAGATGAATGTCATCTTACTGCCTGGTTGATCATGATAGAAGTGTAAATAAACTGGCATCCAAGTAATGAATCAAGTATATGCTTTGACCCTAGATGAAGAGACCTTTGGGATGTGGGCTTTGGTCCCAACAGGGCTTTACAAGCTCTGATGGTATTTCAAGTAGGGAGATATTAAATTAAGAGTATTTCTAGGTGAGTCTGCTGCTGACCAAAGGCATTGAGGGACTGAGAGAAAAGGGCAAAGTTTGCAGCCTTTGTGGAACAGTTTCAACAGAAAGGCAAATGGGATTTGCTGGTTAAAAGTGTCTTCTGGCTAGGGAATAAGCTGAAATTTTAAGGAAGAGTTGAGCTGAGAGTAACACCCACTCCAGCAGTGGGCAAGGAGAATTAAACAATAAATAAAAATACTGTCAGGTTCTCCTCTTTGTATTGGAGGAGGAGAAAAAAGAACAAAGCATTATAATTTTCCCAGGAAATTCTCATAATACTAATTATGACAAGATTGAGTGCTTATCAGCTGTGACACAGAAAACATTGCTAACCTCCTTTATTATCTCAACTCTCTCCTACTGACTTCTGTCTCTGTGTGAGCACAGCAAAGATGTTACTTTGCTGTTTCTGAGTTGCCCCCTGCCACACCAAGGCAGGTGCACGGGATTTGAAAACCTGTGACATTTCCATGGAAAAATACTCTACACGTCCCTGAAAGTAAAACCTATGTACAACCATTTGCAAAGGCCATGGCCTGCAGATGTAAACTAACAGGGACCTGCAACCTTCCATACATGTTTTCTGTGCTCCCTGTTACAGTAGGACCAGACTCCCAAGACCTTTAAATTATATCATACCACAACAAAAAGCAAATAACAAATGTAACTGTTACAATACGCACACTGTTGGAATATAAAATTTGAATACAATGCCACACTTAGAACTGTAAGCATCACTTACAGTCTATTATATTGCCAGCAAGTGAGAAGTTACGGCTTTTGCAATGAAAAAAAACCCCAGGTGGTTATAAAATGCTGGATTCTAGCACGTAGGCAGTGGTTTTTTCATAAAGCATTGGCATTTCTAGTCAGCAAACACTCCGTCAGGGTGGTGGTTAAGTTGCTCAATACACGATGTCTAATAATGCCTACTCCTGTGGTGGGAACTCTGACCTGACTGTCCATCATAGTAAAGTTACAGATTACAGAGTCATCTATAAACAGTTTACAGTGGGATAACTTGCTAAGGCTCTGCTAGGAACAGAAGGCACGCACATGTGTCTCTGTTTACTCTGCGGGGCAGTTATTTACAATACCAAGAATAAAAAGTTGAACAACAAACAAAACAAAGTGAACTTTTCAAAATACTTCAGTGAAGCGTGAGAGCAGCTCTCGGTTCCTCTGGCAATGGCTGAATCCTCCTAGCAGCTGCGTTTGGAGCTGACAGAACTCATGTTTGGTAATGGATTAGTTAGTAGACTGCTAACTTAGCTAACAGCAGACATGGACATTTGGTTTAGAGAAGGTTGTAAAGTTCAGGAGCAGAAATTTTCTGGGTATGCTTGAAATAACGTGGGCAGAGAAATTTCCTGACTGAGTTATACCCAGATTTTTCCCTCAGCATTTCCAGAGGAATCACTTAGAAGGAGAAAAGCGATGCCCATACCCATTTCCCTCAGCATTTCCAGAGGAATCGCTTAGAAGGAGAAAAGCGATGCCCATACCCATGCTCTTCATGACCTAGGACTATCAAGTGCCTGTTGTACAACATCCCCTCTCTGCTACTGACAGCACTAACTCACTTCTCAGGGAATCCAGAGAGGCAGTAGCTAACAACACCCTGGAAATCCTTGGGGGGAAAAGGTGCAATGCAAGTGAAAATCATTTCTTTCCCTTTTAAAAATCCGTGCCCAGATTAAAGACCAAGCGAAATTCCTCTGTAGGTCACAGCCTTGCACTGGATTACGGTGCAAGGCCCTGGTGGGAGCTGCAGATTATAGGGGACCATTTACCCCTGGCAGCCCGAGATAAAACCAAGTAACCACCGTAGCAAAATCCAGCTACTGCTGAAGGTTACTACATGCATGAAGTATCATGGAATAGGCATTCCCATCATTTACCACTTGGTACAAACTGGGAAGAAAACATGCATTACTGCCAAGTAAATCAAAGCAGAAATTTTCAAAAACAAATCCTTTAGAAAAGACCTCTTTGCTTAAAAAACACAGAGAAGAAAGTTGAAGCCACAGCAGAGGTTAGATTCCGCAGCTCAGTGATAAAGCAAAAAAATCTTTAAGAGAAAACGAGTCTTTCAATAAGTTCAGAAAGAAAATTCTTTTGGAGGAGGAAACTGGCAATTGTTTTCTGAGAAAATTTCTAAGTTGCTTTGAAAAAATAGGAGCTACTACATGCGATGATAATGTTAAAAGGAAAACAGAACAACATGAAGGACAGATTAAGCACATTTACTTCCCTTTCACACAGA